CTGCGGTATCCTCCGACCGAGGAGGAGGCAAAGAAGCTCTGGTCACCAAACGTTTTCAGCTGAGGACGCTGGCCAAAACGGCGGAGTGCGGAGGGGGGATGAGGGGTCCAGGTGGCTCCAGGTCGGCTCCAGGTTATAGAGACTCCAGCGGCTCGACTCTAGCGGCTCTAGCGTTGGCTTCGCGATTCTCATTGCAAGCTTCCGACATTAAGGGCGTGCGTAAGAGGATGATTGGCATAAGTAAGAGGATGCTTGAAACTAACTAGTGAACTAATGTATTGGATCATACTTGAAACGTGAAAATCGCGCAATGTAGGAAATACTCCCCATGCTCGAAATACTCTTGTTTGAATGCCAACCATTTTCGAATAACGATAGTTCAGACGACACTCTAATCGAAAGAAAACTGCTGTGGACACGCCCGTAATCCACGGTAGACAGTTCGACGGCCACCACGCCGCCACGCCACCACCCACCAGACCATCTTGGAGCCGTCTTGGGGCCCCATCGCGAGGATCTACTACAGGCTACAGGTGTAGATCTCCACCCTGGGCCCCAGCCTGGAGCCCACAGAGGCATTCTTGGGGCCCTCACCTCTTGGGGCCTTCTCGGGGGCCCAGTGGCCGCGCGGGACATTTCGGCCCAAAAGCCGTCGAGCTGCCTCGGCATGTCGGGGTACTCGCCGCTGTCGGGGGGGTTCGGGATCAGAACTCGATGGCTCGGCGTCGCCGCAGCCGCAGTCGCGTGCCGAGTCCGGAGTACCGCTCCCCCCTCCGACGCCGACCCCGACGCTATCCCCTGCCGTCACGAATCGAGATGCTCCTTATCGACCAACGATTGGAGATGCTCCTTATGTACCAAGCGACCCGACTGGCCCCGCGCCGACCGATGCCGACACCGATCCCGACACCGATCCCGACGACACCGAACCCCGACGCCGACCGTCGACGTCAGCCCGACCCTGACGCCGATTCTCCATCATCGCCAACATCTCCGCCAATCGCGGACCCCCGACGGCGTCGCCAGGTGGACCCCGACGCCGAGCCCCCGCCAGCCCCGCCCAACACCCCGCGCACCCCAACGCCGACCCGCTCGCCGACCAGGATTCCTGACCCCAGCCCCGCGCCGAGCTCCTCGCCGACCCAGCTGCCCAGCCCCAGCGTCCTCAGCAGACCCCCGCCCAGCAGCCCGACCGAGATCCCGGTCGACTGGGATTGCGACGACGACGAGTTCTGAACAGGAGCTCGCCGCGGAGGGGGAAGAGAGAAAGGAGGAGGAAGAGATAACTAAGTAAGAGGAGGAGGAAGGAGGAGGAAGAGGAAGGAGAAGAAAAACAAGAAGAGGAATAATCAGAGCCCGACCGTGGAACTCCGACTCGGGCGAAGCGTCAGCGCGCAACCTTTTTTACTCCCCTCGCGGAGCCATCTTGAGGCCCTCTTGGAGCATTCCCCATTGGCCCGCGCACTGGAAGGCGCGAAGGGGGGGGGCAGAGGCAAGTGTTGGCCTTCGCGACATTCTGGCCAGAACGCGCCCCTCATCCCCCGGGGGCGGCGGGCGAGTCGGGCGAAACCCTGCGTGATGAGGAGCGATCGGCGCGGCGTCCTTCGCTCTCGTTCCTTTCGCCGCAAGCGGCGCTCCTCCAACGCAAGCCCCCAGCACGACCCCACAGCGCAACCCCCCGGCACAATTCCCCCACCACGACCCCTCAACATTAGCCCCCCAGCACAAGCCCCCGGCACAGCCCCCCAGCACGATCGCCCACCCCCCCCCCGCACCGCGACCCTCCGACACTGTCCTCCAACACAACCTCCCAGCACGACCCCCCCAACGCGACCCCCCGGCACAACCCCCCCCTCCGCTTTCCCGCGCGCCCCCCCAGCACGACCCCCCAGCACAGCCCCCAGCACGTCCCCCCGGCGCAACCCTCCAGCACAACCCCGCAGCACAAGCCCCCAGCACAACCCCCACAAGAAGCAAATTGACCCCCCCAGCACGACCGCCAAGCGCGACCGCAATGATTCGTGGCGCGTTGACTTAAGACTTAGACACTTAGACTACTTGTTTTGTTACATGCCGCGTCGTGGCTCTGGTCTTTGTTTTTCGGATTCCCAGTTCTGTTCTCTGCCCCGCCTCGGGGTTGCACATGATTGGTTTAAATTTCTACTTTGTCGCGATGCAGAGAATTGTTGAATTTCTTGTTTCTGAGAGCCTTGTGTCTTTTTGAATCCCCTGCAACCCGAGGCCTGGACAGGCTGAGGGGTTGAACCATTCTGCCAGTCGGTTGGCCCAGGGACCTGACCACAGCCCTCAATAGGATCTGGCCCTAAGGCCCTAGGGCCTAGGGTCCCAGGGGTCCCAGAGGTCCTAGGCCCCTGCCCTCCCTAGACTCCTAGACTCTAGACTCTAGACCCTAGGCCCTAGGCCCTCGGCCCTGGGCCCTAGGCCCTAGGCCCTAGGCCCTTAGGCCTTAGGCCCTAGGCCCTAGGCCCTAGGCCCCTAGGCCCCTAGGCCCTAGGCCCTAGGGAGGCCCTAGGCCCGAGGCCATGTCCTTGGGCCCTAGGGCCCATAGGGCCCTAGGCGGACCGCCCCCAAGCTTCATAGCTTCATTATTTATCCGCTCCCCCCCTGCCGCCAGGAGGTCAATTCTACCAGGAGTCCAAGTCCATCTACCGTGTTCCTCAGCGATTTGGTATCAGAGCTCGTTCACAAGCCCAGCGCAGAGGATGAATACTCGCAGCTTTGTACCGAGGGTCCTATCAGCTTGATATTGCTGCCGTTTGTGGTGAACGCCGAGCTGGCTGACCGCTTTTCCCTACTAATATTGGCTGCCGAGGCTCGGGGGGGGCGAAAACATACCGAGACCCGTTCTGCTACCCCGTTTGCCTTTCGCCGCCCCGGAAGAATTGGGGCAGGAGGGGTTGTCAGCATCCAGTGTCGGTATGTTTTTGTTTTGCCTTGGTCCTGATAGGCGGTCGGCGTGCCGCTCGAGGCCCACATCGACTTCATCTCGCGCAACGGGCGCGAGTGGAAGGCCTCGAGATTGCACAGCTTGCTGTCGATCTGCAAGGGCCTGGTGGGCTTGCTCGACCCCGCGAACACCACTCACTTGACCCATAGCTCTGATGACATCGAGTTTCTCATGAAGGGCAGTCTTCCAGGCTCAGATTCCCAGGGCACGCTGGATTCGGATGTCTCTGCGAACGATGACGTGCTGGCACTCTTGAAGCAGATGGCGAGTGGCGACGAGTCGCTCATGACGAAGTTTTCGGAGTGGGAAGACGTGCTGCTCACAGGAGGCCCTTGCTCAAGAGATCTGAAAGACCTCGAGTACCGCCTTGGCCAAGTCACCGAGCCTGAGGAGATGGCCACCCCCGAGGGGCTGGTGCGTTTGATCGAACTCCTCGCGGAAGCCCTGAAGAAGCTCCCCGATCTCACACAAGGTCTCCGCGCTGGATCCACCACCCATCTTGAGATCCGGCTTTCGCAAGCAGTGCCTGCGGCGGTGGAGGAGATCCTCAAGTGCAACGAGAACGATCAGGCGACGTTGCTCGCCACATTCTACGTACCGTTGCAAGCGGCCATCCTCAAGGTAGCCCCCGATCTCAAGGCGAGATTGAAAGTCTGCTTGGCCACGCTATCCGTGATCCAGGAGAAGACTCTCTCGATGCAGAAGTTGATTAACTTGCTGACCGCGATCGATGGGGTCCAGCAGGGTAAGGACTCATGGGGGAACCCTGACTCCCGTCAACGCTCCCATTGCCAAATTCTGCCTCCCAGCGCCCAGCGCCCTTGCACTTAGCAGCTAGTAGCCTAGGGCCTAGCCTAGTAGGCAGCTAGCACCAAGCACCTAGCACCCAGCATCGATCAGCCTAGCGCCCAGCAGCTGGGCGCCTGGTGCGTGGTATCCCAGTGATTCGACTCTCCAGTGCATCCTAGGTCCTAGGTCCTAGGTCCTAGGTCCTTCTCAGGTCCAAGGTCCTAGGTCCTAAGTCCAAGGTCCTACCTAGGGACTAGGTCCTAGGCCCTAGGGCCCTAGGGCCTAGGGCCTGGGTCCTAGGCCCTAGGCGTTCGAAGGCAGATTTTGCATCAGGGGCGAGCTTTGATGTTGGTCAGGGTGTTTCTCATCAAAGCAGGATGAGAACTGGAGCTTATTGCGCACCGCCCTGGTCGCTTGCAAGGGTCTCAAGTTTCAGGAAGACAGCTCGGAGAGAATTGCCGCCTACGAATTCCTAGCGGAGTGCATTCGGGCGATTGCCAGTGAGCCGATCGATACGTGGCACCCGAAGTTCGCCACAAACCAGCTTATCATGTTGCAGTGCTTGGCTGAACTATTCGGTCCAACAGACGTGCCAGAGGTCAGCAAGCTGCTTGATATTGCGAGGTTTACGGTCGACGTCGCAGCTGCTCGTGGCGCCGTGGTGCAGACCGGGCCGCCCGACCAGTCCAATGCCATGTTCAAGACCTCTGCCAGCGCTGTTCAGGCCCTGCATTGAGTGGCATTGTTTCCACTTCCCACTTCAGTTGGCCCTAGCTCGTTCATGCATACCAGCCGCTTCCCATCGGATGCTTGTGGCGTTCCAAACTGACGAACTACTGAACTCTGAAAGGTGCAGATGCGGCCTGCCCGTGAGATTAGACTCGACCATTAATTAATATATTGTTGTTTTTCTTGCTTCTCATGCCCCTCAGTAGTCTTCTGCTGCTGCTCCTGCTGTTCCTTCTCCTCCTTATCCCTCATCTATGACCCCAATGCCATATCCCTTATCATGCTGTTCCTCTGCTCTCTACTCTCTCCTCCATATCCTCCTCTCCTCCCTCCTCCTCCCCGTCTCCGCCTCCTCCTCCTCCTCTTAGCTCCTAGCGGCGCCTAGGCGCCTAGGCCCTGGGTCCTAAGGCTGTCTAAGTCCCAGGGTCCTTTCAGTCAGAATCTACGGTCCATGCGTCAATGCTGGGCGGGGAAATGGAAACATTGCCATCAGCTCGACGAGCTCGTCCGCCAGCTTCAGAAAGCCAGAGCCCTCGCGACTGTGGATGAGAGTTTGTGGCTGGACAGCAACTTCGGCAAGTGCGACATCAAGACGACATTCGACTCGTTGGTCGAATCGGCGACCTCGACGCGCAATGCATACATCAGCGGCATGTGCACGGTTTTCGCTGACATGGTCGAGTCAGGGAAGGAAGAGCTCGGCGATCTTGGGGCTACGTGGAGGAAAGAGCTGCCGGACAATGCCTCCATGATTTGCTTGCGTGAGAAGGCGAAGGAGATTCTTCCAGACGTGAAGGTGATGGAGCAGAAATGGAAGAACCTCAGCACCAGAACTACCAGCTTGGCGAAGGTCCTGAATAAGTTCAAGAATGTGGAGAGTTGCCCTGAGCTCGATGCGCAGCAGAAGGTGAACGACAACGGCACTGCCAGGCTTAAGGTTTACCGCTTGGCGATTTGCGAGTTTGTGTTCTTGGAAGATGAGAACCTGAACAAGGATACCATCAGCAAGCAGATCAAGGCGCTTGCTTCCATCGGCGCACAGACAGTCGACCTCCACAAGACGATCTTCAACCATGTGCAGGGTATTTTGCAGGGGAAAAAAGCCTAGGGCCCTAGGGCCCTAGGGCCAGAACAGTCTGACTGGATCTGTGTTGGACCGGATATTGCCTCTCTCGCCGACTGCGCCTACGTCTTCGCGCGCGGCTTCGTGCTTGTCGACCCCCACTTGCTCGCGGTGTCCGCCTTCGTGAGCCTGGGCCACTTCCAGGCTTGAGGTTGCTGCGGCTTCCGTCGCCTTGCCTCTCCCAATTCCTTACTTGTCGGTGTCATGGTTTCCCAGGGCTTGAGATAAGCTTGTTGGGGCCTGTCTAGGCCTAGGGTTACCTAGGGCCTAGGGCCTAGGCCTGGGCCTAGGCCCTAGGCCCTAGGCCCTAGGCCCTACCTGGACCTAGGCCAGGCCCTCTTGCTTTTCTCATGGTTTAACCCAGCTTCGGCTGGCGGCAGTGCAAATCGCTCGGGAGACACGGCGCGCGTCTACGCCGCTTTCTTATATTAATGTCTCTCTCCTCTTTTAGGCTTTGTTCTTACCTCCGTTGCCGCTGCCGTTGCTGCTCCTTCTACTTTTCAGGCTGTCTCGTCGTCGGTGCGGGTTTCATCGTCCTCCTCCTCCCCCTCATGCTCGCCCTGCCTCCTCTGGCCTCGTCTTTCTCATCCTCCTCCGCAACTCCCCTTTCCTTCTCACCCCTTGCTCATCCGTCTCCTCCTCGCCGTGCTTCTCCTGATCCTGCCGCGGCTGTTGCTGCTCCTCTTGCAGGTCCTCCAGCTCCTCTGCCGCATCCCCCGCCTCATGATTATATGTTATCTGCTATCCTGCCTCCTCCTCCTCCTCCTCCTCTTCCTCGCCCTCGCCCTTCTCCCGCTGCTGATCCTTCTTCTTATCGCCATCCTCGTCCTCCTCCTCCTCCTCCTCCTCCTCTTCCTCCTCGTCCTCCTTCTTCTCCTCCTCCTCCTCCTCCACCTCCTCCTCCTCCTCCTCCTCCTCCTCCTCCCCCTCCCCCTCCTCGCCCTTCCTATCCTCGGCCGCCCTTTCACCGCCTCTGGGCCCCAAGTGCCCCTCCGACCGGCGCGCGGGGCGCTCGCCGGAGACGTTCCTATGGAGCGCCCGCCGGGCCAGCGCGTGAGGCGCTCGCCTGAAGGCGCAATGAATTTTGTTCGCTCTAGTCTCGCCGCCGGGCATTGCCACGCGGGCCCCCCAAGGATCTCGGAGATGAGAAGGGGGGGGAAAGGGGGTGAAGGAGGAGCGGGATGAGTGAGGGGTGAAGGAGGAGGGAGGGTGAGGAGGAGAAGAAACAGGAGGATGAGGTCAGGGACTAGCGGCGGTAGCGACAAGTGACTAGTGACGAGACTAGAGGACTAGTGACTAAAGGCCAAAGTGACTACTAGTGACTAGTACTAGGAGGCTAGAGCTAATGGATAGCGGCGAGAGTGTAGAAGGCGGCTAGAGGCTAGGGCGATCAGGGCAATGACGATTCTTCAGATCAGAAGGGACCTGGAACAGCCTACGTGCCTGCGTCCTACGACGTGGGTCGTAGGTCTAAGGTCTTACGTCCTACGACCTAGTAATACGATGAGGGTAATGGAGGAACGGGAGAAAGAGAGGCAGAGGGAGGACGGCATACCGTAAGTAGCGTGAGTAGCGTGGAGTGTGCAGTGTGTAGCGCGCAGTGGATGCGGCGAGCTACGCGCTATGCCGTAGTTTGAGTAACTAACCCTCAAGTGGGCCTGGCGGCTACAGTTGCGGGAGGAAGAGGATGAAGAAGAGGGTGGAGGAGGAGGGGGAGACGGAGGAGGAGGAGGATGAGGATAGGGAGGGTGACGACGAGCGCGACGACGACGAGCAGAAGGCACGGGGTAATATGGCAGGGGGAGGAGGTGGACGTGCGCGAGGGGCAGGATGAGGAGGAGGAGGAGGAGGAGGAAGATCAGGGAGAGTCGGCGGAGGAGGAGGAGGAGGAGAGGGATGAGGAACAGGATGAGGAGGAACGAGGCGGGGGGCAACAAGCGCGACGGCCTGCAGCAGGCGATGGCGGTGGAGGATGAGAAAGAGTTGTAGGAGCAAAAGGATGAGGGAAACTGGGAAGGAGACGAACGAGGAGGCGGAGGTGGAGGAGGATTAGGGGACGAGGGAGAGGAAGGGACAAGAGGAGGAAGGGAGGGGAGCAGAAAGAGAGGGGTGATTCAGGGCGCCCGACTCGTTGCTGGCGGCGCTACTGCCACCGATCCCGCTCCGAGCTCTTGCCTCTTTGCTCGTCTGCCCTCTCCTCTTCCCCCTTCCTTCTCCCTCGCGCCTGCCCCCCCCCCATCGGCGTGGCGCATAGCCGCGGGGCCGCGTGTGCGGCGTAGCCTTCCTGCTCATTCCCATCCCTTATCCTGTATTATCCTTTATCCCTTGTCCCGCTCCTCCGACTCCCGCCCCTCCTCTTCCTTGTCATCCTCGGCCTGGTCCTCGTATCCATTATCTAAGGTCTGAGTCTAAGGCATCTAAGGTCGAAGGTTGTTCTCGCCCTTTCTCCTCCTCCTCCTCCTCCTCCTCATCCTCGCCATTATCCTTCTCCTCGCCCCAGTCCTCGTCGTCGCCTCCTCCTCCTCCTCCTCATCCTTCTCCTCCTCCTCCTCCCCCTTCTCCTCCATGTATTAGTGTCTGTGCGCCGAGTTCCTGCGGCAACGTTTGTGAATGGTATAATTTGTGATCGTCGCCTGCGCGTTCGGAAAATGAGAGGACCGTTGATCGCGATGCCCCCCCGCGCTCCTCCTCGGCGCCCTGCGCACTTGGATGTCAGGCGGCGCCGAGGGGGTCACAGCAGAGGGCATTGGGGGTTATTTCCTCTGGGGATCTGGAATTTACGATGTTAGATCCAAGTGGGGGCCGGGGTCGAACGTCGACCCTGGGACCTCTCCAGGGGTGCGTTTGGGCCTGCGGACCAGAATTTCAAGGGGGATCCAGCCTCGGCGAAGAGGGGCCCACAGGAGGCACAGAAAACACGAACACACACACACACACACGCACGCACGCACGCACACACACACACACACACGCACGCACGCACGCACGCACGCACGCACGCACGCACGCGCGCACGCACGCACGCACGCACGCACGCACGCACGCACGCACGCACGCACGCACGCACGCACGCACGCACGCACGCGCGCACACACACACACAAACATCAGGCAACCTCGAGATGGTCCAAGTGGCGACTCTCCTAACTCCTAGGACCTAATTCCTAGTCCCCATAGTTCTTAGTGTCCTAGTGTCCTAGTTGTGGGCTTAGCTACCTACACTGTAGGTCGACAGGCAGCTAGAGGCGACCCCCCTCGCAGTGGCCTTCCCTTTGGCGGCGTTGCTAAGGCCTGCGGCCCTTCTCCATCCGCCACAACCCGCGATGCATGTGAGGGGCGTGCTGACATGGGCCTTGTATGTTCGGTTGAAGGGAGGGGGGCGGATGATCGCGGCCCCTGTTTTATCTGGAACCCCCGTCTGCGTCGGCGGATCTCCCCCTCGCGGCTGGGAATGCTTGCCGCGGCAGGAGGGGGCGCGGTGGGGGTCGTGATAGTCCGCCCCGCCCCTTCACCGAATTCTTTTTGTAGGATAGGGTGTACAGTGTAGGGTGTAGGGTGTAGAGCTTCCGCCCCCTCCGCCTTCGACCCCGCGCGGCGACCCCGCGATGCCGCGACCGCCGCGACATCTTTGCAGGACTTTCGCCCCCTCCGCCTTCGCCCCCGCGACGCCGCTTCGACATGTTTGCGGGGTTAGGGCTAGGGCTAGCGGCTAGGCCCTAGCCGCCAGGGCTAGGGCCAGGGCCAGGGGCTAGGGCCCAGCGGCTAGGGTGGCGGCTAGGGCTATGGCTTTCGCCCCCTCCGACTTCGCCCCCGCGCAGCGACGCCACGAAGCCGCGACTGTGCGACATATTTGTAGAGTTTTCGCCCCCTCCGCCTTCGCGCCCGAGCATCGACGTTGCGAAACCGCGAGAATTCTACATATTTGTAAAGTTTTCGCGCCCTCCGCCCTCGCCCCCGCGACGCCGCGACGCCGCGGCCCGCGCGAATCTCACGCCAGTGATATAGCAGCCAACAACATGCTCAACAATTGCCCGAAGCTCATTTGGGCATGCAGAATATCTGCCAGAGTTCGCGCGATAGGCATTTTGATAGGAAAAAAATACAGACATTTCAAGTTGATACGACAAAACCATGGACATTTCAATTCAATAGGACTCGCCCACTCGGGTTTTTACCCAACAGGATCTGTGCCACCATAGATCTCGCACTGGTAGAATCAGCAACAACAAATTGATACACTTTTTCGTAGAAATATATTCACCTGGTAGTTGATGTTTATTGAGAAGACGGCTACTTAATCGTAGGGCAATATTTGCACACATGCTATGTATATACGCATCAGTATCTTTTATGTGTGTAAAACAATTTCTGTATGAAAGAGCGCTTCCTGTGTTTGCTTGTAGGTCCCCCCGGGGGGCGACAACGACGGCGTCGTGCTCGGCGTTGTCGTCGTCGTCGTCGTCGTCGTTCTCGGCATCGTCGTCGTCGTTGTCGTTGTCGCTGGCGTCGGCGTCGGCGTCGGCGTCGTTCTCGGCGTCGTGATCGGCGTCGGCGTCGTTATCGTCTTCGTGTTGGTCGTCGGCGTCGGCGTCGGCGTCGTCGTCGGAGTCGGCGTCGGTGTCGGTGTCGGCGCCCAGCGTCGTCGTCGTCGTCGTCGTCGTCGGCGTCGGCTTCGGCCTCGCCGTCGTCGTCGTCGCTGGCGTTGGCGTCGGCGTCCGCGTCGGCGTCGGCGTCGTCGTCGGCGCCAGCGTCGGCGTCGTTGTCAACGTCGTGATCGGCGTCGTGCTCGGCGTCGATCTGGCCGTGGCCGGCGTCGGCGTCGGCGTCGGCGTCGTCGGCGTCGTGCTCGGCGTCGTGTTCGGCGTCGTGCTCGGCGTCGTGCTCGGCGTCGGCGTTGGCGTCGTCGGCGTCGTGCTCGGCGTCGTGCTCGGCGTCGTCGTCATCGTCGGCATCGTCGGCGTCGGTGTCGGCGTCGGTGTCGGCGTCGGCGTCGTGCTCGGCGTCGTCGGCGGTGTCGGCGGTGTCGGCGTCGGCGTCGTCATTGTAGACGTCGGCCACGGTGTCGTGCTGGGCGTCGTGCTCGGCGTCGTGTTCTTCGTCGGCGTCGTGCTCGGCGACGTTGTCGGCGTCGGCGCTGGCGTCGTGCTTGGT